AAAAGAAATTCTGAAAGTCATCACAATAGTCCCAAAGAGTGAGGAGAATTATCTAAAGCAATGGCTAGGTGCTAACTTCTGCAGAACTGCATGGAGACTTGGCTCCAGGCCCTGTGGCTTACTTCTACCTTGGCCCTTCAATCTGCCTCCTGACAATACATGGCCATGCCTGCCTCACTCAGGATCACACGTGTCTGCCTTACCCAGGACTAGCTAGCTCCTTACCATAGGCACTGCCTCATTCATCTCAGCATCTTGAGGTAATTAAGAACGAGTGCTATCCACAGAAAAGGAGCAATGACTACGCCACAAAAGTCACTCTGCAATCAAGAAAGAAGGAAAACTCAATCTGGGCAAGTAAAGGCCACATAAGGAACATATCTGCCCAGCCTCACATCTTTCTAGCTCATCCCTACAATAATCAACTCTACCGTTCATAGGGGAGAGGAAGCCACTGGAGGAGGAAAAAAGAAGCTAAAGGCTAGATACTGAGAAGATGCCAGAGAATTTGCTCAGTGACTTCTGCTTCCTCTGAAAACTGGGTGCCAGAAAGAAGCTCAACCACTCTACCAAACCCATGTTTCCTCCTATTAAATATCTAATTCCGCCAGGGATTTAGCTCAGTGGAACTGCACTTGCCTTGCAAGTGTAAGGTCCTGAGTTCGATCCCTGGTACAAAAAAAAAAAATCTCATTCTTTCCACCACGAAGCTCTGAGTTATATTTAGGATGTAGCTGTGGTGGCCTGTTGAGCATGCTCCCAATCTGGAGTTCCAGAACTCACACTTTGGCATCCTACAAGCATTTCACTAAACAACTAAGTCCATTCAACAATACAGTGTTTATAGAGCTCTTACTATATGCTGTCACCATGGGAGGCAGTGAAGACACAGCCGAAAAGGCCATGTGAGCACCACCCTCAAGGGGCTGCCTGCCACTTGGTTCTCCCAAGTCCCTCAGAATCAGGCGCTCCAGGCACAAATGAGACATGCTCTTCCCTCCTTCTCTAGGAGCAAAGGGAGTGCAATGTCTCCTCTCAAATGCTGATGCTGCCACAGGCTCTACCATATGCTGCTGGTTTTCCTCCCCGAGCCCTCTCATTCAGTCTCAAACATTACTAGTGACAGTCTCTTCTATTAACTTTTGGGTTTTGTTGTTTTTATTTTGTTTTGTTTTCCTTCCAGAGCACAAGACAAGGGTTACAGGCCTGTGATCTGGTGCTTAACTGCCCAAGTGATTCAAATCTCACTCTGCATCTTAACAGCTGAGAAATCGTAAGAAAGTTATTAAATCTCTCAAAGCTGTATCTGTGAGCTAGAGAGAGCAATGGCGTCTTCCTTGAGCGATTCTTCTGTGGGTCTCAGGAGTTCATTGACATAAAGCTTCAGCACAATGCCTAGAACTAACTGTAACACTTCACACTGCTAGGATTATAGTGACTTCCATGTTAATAGTGCTTTTCCCCACCCAAGATTAAATTTCATCCAACCGAATTTCTTTTTCCTTTTTTTGGTGCTGGGGATAGAGCACAGAGCTTCACACATGATGGGCTCCACCACAGAGCCACATCTCCAGCCCCAAAACAACCTTTCTACCTCTACTCTCTAGCACTTAAAGCTCACCCACTATTAACAAACGACAGAATGGTCCTGAGTTCAGGTTCTGAGCTGTCCAGACACTAGATTGTAGGCCATTGAGGACAAATGTGTTGTGCATATGTGCAGATGAGGAAGGTGGTTTTTATTCTTCCAAAGACAGACAGCCAGAGGAAGCTTGTTCATAAATTCCCTTTATATTCAGATGAGTCACAATGCTTGGGATATTCCAAACAGCCATATCATTCAAAATAAAATGTCTCTTCTTCTTTTACCCTTTTCAAATGGAAAGAAAATGCCTCAGCTTTTTCCTCATACTCCTTCATTACTCTATTCCCACAAGTGTTTATTACTATGGGTAAAAATCAACCCATTAACAAAATGACAGAGGAGTATCACAAAGAACATTGCAGGGACTTGATTCATGCAAAAACAAAGGGTTCAGCAAATGTCTTGGTGTAATGAAATGCTAATCTATTCATAGATGACAGAACAGTGACAGCCTCACTTTGCAACCAAAGAATGAAAATCAATCTAGGGTAGTACACACCATTTGAGGACATCTCGGCTTTACTCTCACATTGCTTTCAGCTTCCTGATGAGAGCTGGCAACTGAGCTGCTCCCAGCTAAGAGAATTACAGAAGGAAGAAAAGGAAGCTTAAGGCTGGCAAGGGAAATCATTTACCCCTGAGCCACTAGCTTCCTCATTTGGCAGCTTAACTTTTAACTCCCTCATGGTTAAGAGAACACCAAGGCAGGGCTGGGGATTTAGCTTAGTGGTTCTGGTGCCTGCCTTGAAAGCTCAAGGTCCCGAGTTCAATCCCCAGTACCAAAAAAATAAATTAAATTAAATTTAAAAAAGAGGACACCAAGGCAAGGGGATCTGATAATGAACTTCCTGTGTAACTTATCCATACCCTTATTCCCCATATCCAGCAGAAATCAACCAAGAGAGATGACAAGACTTTCACGTGGTAAATCAGGTGATGACATGACCACTACACAACCTCCAAGGCACTACTGTCTGACCCATCTACCTCTCCGTCCACAGCACCACCTCTTTCCCCTCATCCATTCTGTTCCAAACCCATGCACTTCCTTCTGTTCCTCTAACCTGCCTACGATCTCCCTCCACAGGGCTTTGTCCTTTGTCTTCCCCATGTCCACTAAACACTGAATGAACCAACAATCAGCCACCCGATGAGCTAATGGTGCCTGTTCAGCAGGTCTAATAGCCAGTGGCTGTCTTCTCAAAGCAGGCATCAGCCTTGCACCTGTGCACCCCGTTTCTATGGGGAGATCCCTGCTCCAAGCCCAGTGCTAGTGCCCAGCGGGCTCTGAAGAAGGGTTGCTTTCTCTTATGGGCACCCATAAGCCAAGGCCTTCTCACTGTACCTCTTCCCCTGGTCTCCCAACAAACAGAGTCTTCCCACCCACTTTCAATGTGATAACCCTTTTACCTTCCCTGATTCATCAGCTCTTCATTCATTCAATAAGCTAAGACACCCCTATACTTACAAAATATGTTCATACTTAAACATATATTCATCCAGGGGGTGATTTTATCACTTGCCAATAAATAGCTCCCGAAAATATAGACATGGAAAGGACATGATCTCTGCCTTCCAGGGATTCGGTATCCAGTGGGTGAGAAAAACATACAAGTTGTCACAAGGCTAAGGGCCCAGCTTCCCACTCCACCTGGGCTTCCTGGGTATAAACTGATGACCTGGTACTCCGGCAGTCATGAGCTATCACTAACACCGTGGGAGGCAGAGCCCATGTAGACAAGACAATTTCCTCAGTCCTTAAGACTTCCCAACCCAGTTCTGGCTCTTCCTCACCATCCTGTTGTAGCAAAGGCCAAAGCTTGTCTTCCCTTGAATTCACCTGAGTTAGATCAATTTGCTTCCCATGATATCTCCCTTCCTTAGAGTTAATTCAGGAACCAGACTGTTACAGTTTGGATATGAAATGCTCCCCAAAGACTCATATGTTGAAGGTGTGGTCTGAAGAGCAGTAGTGTTCAAAAGTGACTGGCTCATGAGGGCTCTAACCTCAGTAGTGGGTTAATCCATTGATGAATTCATAGCTGTAGGGACCACGAGGTGGTGGCAGAAACTGTAGCAGGTTGGGGCTAGTCTGTAGAAGTTGGTCCTTGAGGGTGTAGCCTAGGAGACTATATCTTATCCCTGACCCCTTCCAATCTGTTTCCTGACTGCTCCTCTATGCCCTGTTCCCCATGATGTACTATACTGCCTCCCCATGGGCTCACAAACAATGGAGCCAGCAAACCATGGACTGAAACCTCTGAAATAATGAGCTAAAATAACCCTATTTTCCTTTAGGTTGATTTTCTCAGGTATCTTTTCATAGAAATAGAAAGCTCCCTAATACAAAAACAATACACACTCTAAGAATGGTGGCCTGAATCAGAAATAAGCTTCCGGGTTCCTTTTCCAATGCCCTGCTTCTGCAGCCCAAGTCTATTTCAGGCATGTCTCCATAACAATTAGCAGGGTTTTCCTAGTTATAAAAAGTAAAATTTGGAAAGTACTGGAAGTATACTTGTAGATTTCTATGTGGATGTGTGTGTATATATATTTATATGCTACATATAACACTACCATCAAGCAACCATCACAACATACACACACAACCAGTAAAAAGCTAGGCCTCCAAGTTTACCACTAAATATAGTAATAATTAATGATTTCTAATAAAATCTTTTATCATGTCAAAGTACTCTGAGTCCTCATATATCAAGAATATTTTATCAGATATCAAGGAACATATCAAATGACTTTTTATGAAGATAGTATCTCTTCTTTTAATCTATTAATGAGATGACATATGGATGAATTTCCTAACATAAAACCATCTTTTTTTCTTTTCTTTTTTTTGGTACTGGGGATCGAACTCAGGACCTTGAGCTTTCGAGGCAGGCAGCGGCACCACTGAGCTAAATCCCCAGCCTAAACCACCCTTTAAATCCTAAATAAACCCTACTTTTTATGTGCATTCTTCCTTAAATATATGACTGAAATAGATGGGGGGATATTTTTCTAGAATTCTTTAATGCTATCTTTGTCAGGGAATACACACTTAAACTAAGATACAGATATGTGTGCAAAATCAATTCGCTTCTAGTTTTGAAACATAAGTTCCAGATATTTCTAATTAAGTTATATTGTAAAAATAATCAACTTCTACTTTTTTATCCAATACACTGGTTTTTATCTGTTTCGGGTGTTGCTGTTGCTGTTGTTCCAGAGATGACAGGGTATGGCATTGGTCAGTTGCTTTGCTAACAACCCTGTTTTACCAGGCTGGACCTTTTCCTGAAAGTCTCCAGAGCAGCTAACAGCAGGAACAAAGACGCGCATACTCCCAACCAGTCCTTACCTCGATGAGCTTCCTTTCATAGGAGCTTGCTAGCTCTTCAGCAATTTCTCCCGGCTTCTGTTCAGGGACAGTGACTTCTCCATCAACATTCCAAAGATTTGGCACAACTTTAGGAAAAGAGAGACATTCCATAAGTACCCTTACAAATTAAAAAAGAAGGAAAAAAAAAAAACTTTCTTCCTAAATGGCTCCTCCAGAAAGGAAGTTCTTCATATGAACCAAAAAAAACAAAAACCAAATACTAATTGATTCAACATGGTAACATTCTTATACAATAAATTCATTAAAGTGAATGAAAAACTGCATTTTAAAACAGTAAGAACTGTCAGGTAGAGTCAGGGTTAATCTCAGCACTTTTCTCCATTTCAGGAAAATAAGTAATATTTCTCCAATGCAGAAGCCTACACTTGCATCTTTTATATTGGCCAATTTTCTTTTTCTCCAACAAAACAAGTGACACCACAAGCTAGTGCCTGCCAGCACCCTGGAGTGGAGCAGTGATGAGGTCCAGTTATATGTGGAACCAAGAACTGGACTCTGTAAACCCTCCTTAGAAAGACAGCAAGGAGCCTCTGGAAAAACTCCAAAACTAACACACAAGGTCAACACAAGCCCATGCTAGATAAGAGGAAAACCGATCCCTGGTCAGAGAGCAAGCAGGCAAGCAGGCACTCCTTTCCACTTCGAGGTTTATGTTCACGTGCACCTGCTCCATCCAGAAGAGCAAACGAAGAAAAACTAGAGACAAGTCAGACAGTTCAAGAAAAGCAGGAGAACCAGAGCAGGAAAGAGTCCCACCAGTGGGTAAGAAAAAGGCCCAGTGGTATGTTTTAAGAATATAAATTAGCCTCCAGTTTCAAAACAAGTATCAACTATGCAGCCTACATTTCCTGTGTGTTTTGAGTGATGAAACTGCTGGATGCCTCTGTCAACCACAGAAAGGAGATAACGAGGGAAAACAAGGATGTAAGGCTACCCCAGTGGCAGGGAGTGACCTCCAGGGAGAAGGCGAAGTGAGGAAGGCTGAGCAAGTTGAAACACCAGGCCTGATGGGACCCGCTACACAGCACCCAGCAACCTGGTGACTAAAGCCTCCATCAAGCCACCACTGAAGATCCTGAATGTGATCCGTGCTTTGCTAAACTGTTTCCACCCAGAGGTGAGTACTGTCCCAGCCCCTGAAGGGAATGATCAGCAACAATCTGCAACCTGACATAGTTATTTAAGGAAAAAATGCAAAGGACTTCTACTGAAAGATGCTAGATGGAACACATTAATTTACATTCACATCCTCTCAAAATCCCATTAAAATAGCATTTTACTTTTTAATTCCCCTTTAGGAAAAAGAATTGTAGAGAAAACAAAACAACAAAATTATAGAAGCTAAGAATCAGCAGGTAGCTGATATGAAAGTGTCCATCACAGACAGAAAAAGAAAACAGAGCAGCAGACCTGCCTAGTGTGCCTCTACGGCTTAAGGGTTCATATTAACATAGGGAGGGAGCAGTTCACGAGGATAGACACCTCTCGCCCACCCACCGCTGCCAAAGGTGAACATGTGGCAGGCAGAGAAGTCATTCATCCCACCGGGCAAGTTTGTACCAGCACAACATCTGCTCTATTTTCCAGTCAAGACGACTTCCTTAGCCTTGGGAATAAGCGAACATTTGAGTATTCAGAGAAGGCAATACAAAAAAAGTCTGAATAACAAGTCATCTGAGAGCTAAAAATAATAGGTTATAAACCATTCTACATTCTTAACACATCACCCAACAAACCAGTTAATTTGAAGAGAATTGTGATTGAACGCTGAAGGTCAAATCTAAACAATAAACAAAAACATTTGTGACTGATCAAACTAAAACTTTTTTATGTTGTATCTTTCCTCAGCGTGATATATCAGTTTCAAAATTAAAAGAATGGCAATTTAATAGCCCAGGAGAAAAATATACCTCTCTGTTTGGGTTCATAATAGCTTCCTCTGAATTCAAAAACATAATGCTTTAAAATATTGATTAGCAATGCAGTATTAGACCCAAAAATTAATCATTAACAATTTCACTCCATATTTTGAATTACTTTTACAGTGTCCAGTACTTTACATTTTGCCCTAGTGAAAGACCAAATAAAAAAAATACAGCTGCTGACATTCAACAAGACAGAAATTTTCATCTACATGGTTGGGTATTTCCACTTTGGGTAAGAAAATTAAATTGCATTTTTTAAAAGGCCAAATACAAAGATAGGTCAAAAGCAAAAATTTAACTTATGGCTGTGTTGTATGTATTTAATGCATGTCAATCTTGATTAACAATCTTGATTGTCAGGCATGAGAGACACCTAGAAGATCAGTAAAGCTCATTTCTTGGTATGTCTGGGTGGGTGGTGAGAGCATGACCTTGGGGAACACACCTGGTCCCTGCCACCTTCCCCCCGTTAGCTCTTCCTGTGATCTGTGCTTCAGCCACCATGAGGTTAACAGATTTGCTCCGCCACACCCTTTACTCATAACACTTCTGCCTTGGAGCCGGCCAACCATGGACTGGAACCTCTGAAATCATGAGGCAAAATAAATCCTTCCTCCTTTAAGTTAGGAAAGTCAGGTATTTTTATGTCAGTAATGGAAAGGTAACCGACACAATGTAGTAACCAAAATTTACTCATATCCATTTTCAATGGGTTCTCAGAAAAATCAAAATAATATGCTTCAGCTTACCTATCACTGTGGGATTTGCAAAGCATTTCAAAAGAATAATCGCACAAAGCTCCCAAACAGGATTTACTCTGGGCATTTAATCTCATGCCAAAAGTGAACATGTCTACATTATTTGTCTAGCACAGGCTCCCCTGTTAACCCAATCCACCTAGTTAACATCCACATTATTCACTGGAAAATCTACACTCTATTTACTTCCCTATCTACTGAGTAGTCAGCAATTTTCTCCTGTAATTTCCATGATGGCATAATTATAGAAGTCAGACTCAATATGGGAAGAAAAGAACGATTGGGCAAAAACAATAAGCCTCCTCTTGTTAAATTTGAATAGTTAAGACACTGAAACTGTGTTTGGTGGAGGTACAAAGGCATTTACTTTAAATCAGAACTATTTTTCCATGTTCTAGAAAAGCTGCGTGTTACTTAGCACAATTAGCAGGTTATTCAAACTTGGAGAATATCACACGGTTTTCCACCTCACTGCAGCCTGCTGCATCTGTTTGGGGGCATCTGTGACAAGCCTGAAATAAGCAGACACCATGCTGGTCTCACTAGTGGGCACCAGAGAATACATGGGGTTTCTGCCTGTTATTTTAAGCAAAATTTCAAATACCACCAAGAATAGCCTGGCAAACAGCATGATAAGGTTACTGTTTTGCTTTCAATTTAAACAAGCTTAGCATGACCCCAGATGCACAATGCGAGGTGTTGGTGAAAGCAGATGAAGAGTGATTTTAAACTCGATGATATTTTTCCTAGGATACTCTAATGGACACAAGGAGGTGCTCCCAGGCCTGCAAGAGCAAGCCAGGTTCCATGTGCTGGGGAACCTGAGATACTTTAAGGTTCCAGAGGACAAAGGCTCCCCCTGGGTAAGGTGCTCATGACCCCAACACGACAGTAGGTCCCCACAGTTACTGCAGTAAAAGAAACAGTCTCCCTAACAGTAACACACTCCATCTTCCAGGTGCTCCCTGGGGCTGGTGGGGAGACAGTAGAGCTATGTGAATAGACAAGGCCCCCAGTGGATGACCTTAGGTGAGTTTTTCATGTATCCATTCAAATCATTACTGAAGATTCGTTAAGTGCCGGGAACTAGACACTAGAGATCCAGAGATGTCATAAAGAAAAAAAACAAGTACCAACACTGTATGTAGCTTACATTCTAGTGAGGGGGAAGGGTGGTCAGAAGAAAAAAAAAGTGACTATTTTATGTTCAGGTGTGAGAAGTACTAAGGAAGCTTCGAAAGTGAGAAAATGGTGGAAGCAGCATACTAATTAAGTAAGATATAAGCAAAGGCCTCAGTAGGAAGGTAGTATCTGAGCAGCGACCGGAATAAAGCAGGGGAGCAAGTCACATGGAACCCTGGGGAAGAGTATTCCAGGGAACAGCATGTGCAAGAGCCCTGAAGTAGGCACCAGTTCAGTGTGTCCTAGGAACAGTAAGGAGGCAAATGTGGCCAAAGATAATGAATGAGGGAGAGATGAACAGAAATAAGACTAGAGAGAGGACAGTTAGGATCTGTAAACTAAGGTATTCTATTCTGAATAAAAGAGAAGTCCCTGGAGGGCTCTAAACAAAAGATGGAATGATCAGGTTTGCTCAAGGTCACCGGGTCTAGAATCAAGCCCAGGCCTGGGTTCCTTCCCCCACAGCACTGCCTTTCCCAACAGGGTAAGCAGCAAAGTAACTAAGTAAAGACTGCACTTTCCTGCTCAGACTTTTGTCCAGCAAGTACCAAGAGGCTTAAAAGCTAAGGGGAGCTTGGGAAAGGGTGAGTGTGTGGATCTTTTCCTGTCCTAGAGTTGCAATGCAGACAGGAAGATAGTCAATAGTGTCACCAGGCTCCTGCTGGGCTTCAGCTTCACAAGGCCAGGTGTCATACAGACCCCTCTCCTGGGAGCTTCTGTCTCAGGCTCTCAGAGGCAACACTAACAAACTTTTTTTAGAGAATGGTAGCTGCTACTCAGCTAATTCCTACCTTTGAAAAGGGTGCCACTCCGAATGAGAAATACTTATTCAGCCTAAAGATTCCCAGGAAGAGCCAAGCCCAGGGAAGAGAGTGGCATGACACAGGCAAGAGATTGTAGGTCTGGCAAGAAATGGCTACCTTAGTGGTCCAAGGAAGGTTCAACCCGCCCCTATAGTCTGAGGCCCCTTCGCAGGAGTGCAACACCCCTTGGACAATTTATACAAACCCAATTGACACTTGAAATAACATCATGTGACATCTCCATTTTAGATATGAGAAAGGGGAAGACAGGGTTTTCAGAATACATTCTAAATGATGAACATGACACCACAAAGCCCAGTCTGCCGGACCTCAAAACCTCAGTTCTTCCTAGCTCCCACTTCGCTTCTTACCATGGAGCCCACTCCCTCTCTGGTGC